ACAAGCTACCGCCAAAGAACCGCGCTCTCTGCGGCAGTCACAAATAAAACATATGGATGCTACTGCGATAAGAAACCTCGCTTGTGGAGGAGTTAAACGGTTGAAACCGTGGTCGAAATGCCAGCTTGACACAAACCAACCGTCCCAACAGCTTCACTTGGCTCACTGGCAGACTGTCCACGCCGAATCCCCAAAGCCAAACCTCCACCGAGAAGAAGCGCCGAGTGGCAAACATCGATAAGATATTTTTTTTCTGTCGTTTGCGACTCCCATGTGAGGTGTTCGCATGGATGCCTTGTCTGTGTCACAGCGAACAGTGATGCAAGGCAAGGCCAGACATTGGACGGAATTCCATGACTCGGTTTGTCAAGCAATGAGAGTGACCTTGATGACCTTCCCAATTGATCTCTTTTCGGTTCGTGCTGCCATGCCAGTCATCGGCCGTGATGATCCACAGAGAAGAGAAAAAACAAACTCCACCATAGCGACATTGGTGAGCAGTTTTCTCGCCGGGAGAGCCCCGACAAAAGATGCAGGAATTGCAGAATTTCGTTGAGGCTACCGTTTGCGCCGAGAGGGGCGGAACATTCGGGCCCAAATCGAAGGTTCAATGGATAAAAAGGGGTGAAGCTGCTTTGTCTGCCCCGCGATGTTCCCCTCCAGCGGCGTCAAGGTGGGATGTCAAATTTTTGCAGTGGCTTTTCAAGGGATGGAGTCGAGCAAAGATTTTCACATCTGAGGGCGTGACAAGTTAACACAAAGGATCCACTGTGACATGTGATCTTCCCAATCCACAAACCAGCCTCTTCTTGAAGCAAAGTGACGCCCATCGCCATCGACAAGTTTCTTGCAGAGACAAGATGATGCCGCGGGGCAGTTCTTCAGCAGCACGTCAACGGGTGGAGAGCTCTGTTTGAGAAGAGGGGCTGCAAGAGGGGCACAGTGGACACCGCCAAGCTGGAGTCTGTGCGCTTCCCGCCCGATCTTATCTTATCGCACCCCAAACCCTTGGTGCCTGATGCATTGTTGCCAGGGGAACTGCCCGGGAAGGGTGTCTGCAGTAAACAATTTTTAGAACGCGCGACTGCCGCAAAAAGCGTTGAAGAATCGCTCGCATTGGGACAAGACCTGAACCTGGGACCTAGCTGCATTGCATTTTTCCACCTTGACAACTCGAAACTGCAGCATTACCCCAGCCGCACATCTTCAGCCAAACTCCACTTTGTATCTGGGCATTTCGGGCATTCCTTGACTTGCAGGATACCTATCTTCAATAAAGCAGATTTGCCGACAAAATGGCTTCCAGATCACAAAGCCTTTTCGAAGTGTATCTGCGACTTCGACCGGTCCATAATGCATCGACAAGTGGGGAACGATTCTTGAATGTTGAGGAGCCGGAAGAGGGCAGCGATACGCCTACGCACATTACGCTGAACCCACCAAATGATCGACGACGAGCCATCGAGAAGTTTGCTTTTACGAGGGTGTTCGAGGAGGATGCGACGCAACTCGATGTTTTCCACTGCACTGGGCTCGCAAACCTCGTTGAGGGTGTGCTTGCACCGTATGGTGGAGATGGGACAGATGCGCTGTTGGCAACGTTGGGAGTTACGGGGTCAGGAAAGGTGCGCATCTCGATCGGAATTTTGGGGAGAAGTGTTCTAACAGACATTGGAACAGACACACACGATCCTCGGTTCAAAATCGCAGCGGGGAATGATCCAGCTTGCACTCGATGTCATCTTTCGATCCCTCAGCGAAAGCCTCCTCGACTGCAACTCCCACCCCACACTCGAGCAGTCCATCTCGAACTCGGACGCCTCCGAAGCCAGCATATTCTCCGCCTCGACCTTCCTCGATGGCGTCTATGCAGATGCGCCGGCGCAACTCAAGTCGAGTTCACGAGCCCCTACGCCCATGCTTGTACGGTCTGCCCATCTCTTTTCTCCCTCGTTTTCTTCTCAGCGAGACGACCCATTCTCTCGACCAAGCAATGCTCCCCTCCCAGTCGGTGGCAGTCCCAAGAGCGTCCGGATAGTTAGCCGGGAAGACTCTGTTGCACCCCCCAGCCCTCCTTTCTCTCATAACCAGCGCTAGGGTCGCGGTGGGAAAAATGGAGGCAGCAGACTTCCCGGACGAATATCCCCAGACAAGCATTTTATGGCCCCTACCGCCTCCATCCGGTCAAAGGCATCTACTAAAACAGTGCATCCACAGGGCGAGTCGATCGGAGCGAGCTCGACGTCTGGTCGCCGAATGAACCGACCGTCCAACTTTCCCCAGCAGCCCGACATCAGTGCCTTGACCGTATCGTGCGATCCCTCGTCCGAATACGCGATCGTGGTGTCCATGTACGAAGTTTACAACGACCGGATCTTTGACTTGCTCACCCCACCGATCAAGTCGGCTGCGACGAAAGAGTACCGACGGCGCCCACTGCTGTTCAAGCCAACCGAGACATCTCCAGACCGGAAGGTGGTAGCAGGTCTACGAAAGGTGATTTGCGGGAATCTACAACAAGCTCTGCAGGTGTTGGAAGCAGGTTTGCACGAGAGGAGAGTTGCAGGGACAGGCAGCAACAGCGTCAGCTCACGCAGCCACGGGTTCTTTTGTGTAGAAGTCAAGAAACGCACTCGAGCCAGCCGCAAACACGGAGATCTTCCCTGGGGCGGAAGCACACTTACTATCGTAGATCTGGCGGGCAGCGAACGAGCCAGAGATGCAAAGACAGCCGGCGCCACACTCGCAGAAGCCGGCAAGATCAACGAGTCTCTCATGTACTTGGGCCAGTGTCTCCAAATGCAGAGCGACGCCGCGAGCAAGGATAAGGTAAGCCTTTTGTGTCCCATTGGATTGCACCCCGACAAGCCCCCCCTATTTTCCTGCATGGAGCTAGCTAACACAGCTCGCAAAATAGCCCAATCTGGTCCCGTTCCGACAATGCAAGCTGACGGAGCTCTTGTTTTCCAACTGTTTCCCCTCCTCTGGGGCAGGTGGCTTTTCTTCGAGCGCCGCTGCCAGGCTTCAAAGAAATGCCCAAAAGGCCGCCATGGTGGTCACCGCCGACCCTTTGGGGGACTATAACGCCACGTCGCAGATTCTGCGATACAGCGCGCTCGCCAGAGAGGTGACAGTTCCTCGGGTGCCCAGTATCACGCAGTCGATTTTGACTGCTGTAGCTGCCCCGCAGTCCACCAGCCCATCACCCCCTCTGACCCACCACCATCACCACCGGCCGTTTTTCCCTCCAGGATCGTCGGCGTCATCGAATTCGAATGTTACGTATCCGCAGTTGATGTCTTCCCCGAATATTACTCGGAGCATGTCGCCTAGGGGGCTCGCTAGTTCCTCTGGTGTTAATAACAACATGACGGATATGCACAGAACCACAATGGAAGTAGCTGCCTTGGAAATTGCACGCCTGTCAGAAGAACTGGATTACATGCGCCAAGCTCTCGAGGCGGAGCGGTCGGCAAGGGAAGAGGCGGAATCGCATTTATTGACCATGGAAGACAGGATGATTGAGCTGGAACAGGCTATTCGGGAGGATTGTACTAATGAATTTGAACGACGGCTGGAGATCGAGATGGCAAGATGGCGGGCGACGATGCAAGTGGAGATGGAGCGTGGGGAGGAGCATTGGGGGCGGAAGATTGAGGTTTTTGAACGGACTATAGGCCTGCAGCAGCAACAGAATAATGGGGAAGAGGGGAGCCAAGAGAGTGAATATGAGGATGATGACAAGGAGAATGTGCTTATGGAGGATATGGAGCAGGAGAACGAACGGCTTAGGAGGGAAGTGGAGATACTGAGACGGGAGTTGACGAGTATGAGTCCTAGTAAGAGACGGCCGTTGGGGGAACGGGGGAGTGAAGGGAAGAGTCGGGGTGGGAGTCCGGGACGCGGTTCGAGGAAGGGGGGAGATAAAGAGGGAACGGGGGGACTGAGGATTAAATTGGAGGGGTTGAGGGTTCATGATGATGATGATTCTGTTGGAGAGGTGTCTAGTGCCGGGGAGGGGAGGGACAAGAAGAGTGGACAGAATAATGGGAGGAGTAGTCCTAAGAAGATGAGACGGTTGGGCGGGAGGAGGTGGGAGGATGAGGATATGTTTTAGGCTCGTCTTTCACTTCCCTAGCTAAACGATACTGCGTGGGACATGGGTCGGTGGCTCACTGCTGGGTTATTCACGATGAGAGTTTATGGCAAGCGGCAAGGGATAGGATATGATTTGGTTCGGGCGGTTGGTCACGCATGGTCGGTCGGTTGGGCGGCTGTGAGTAATATTGGACACAGAATTGTCAGAGATACCATATGTGGGAACAGGAAGAACAAATTGCGTCATGTTAGATTATGATATGACGGATGACAGGATGAAGGGGATAAGACTCAGGATTGCTTTCTTTTCTGGTTTTCTTTTGTCGAGATATACAGATACCTAACCCCCACCTGGCAGGTCAGGGGTTTAGAAGATTGTTAATAAGAGATTCACTGTGGCGCTGGACATCTATGTGGTCTGGTTCACGGTGTAAACGTCTTCATCACTACTTGTTTCCTTCCAGGTTCATGCACTCCGGAACTCCAGATGATGCAGCTTACTCTCTCAAAAGGATTAGTAACCCCTAGGACTCTTCCATGTTGATGTGTGATGATGATGATTAGCCTTTGACTTTCCTTCTTTCTGTCCCCTCGATGACTTGCCATGAATTCAGTAACTTTGCAAGCTTAAGCTGCAGCCGGATGATGGTTTGATGGGAGGTTATGTGATTGAGGAGCTCTTTGAGGTATTTTTTAGGGAGCGAACGATGGGGACTGATGTTTTGCTTTTTCCCTTTGGCATTAGCACTTCAAGGGCTATGGATGATGTCTGAGACACTGTCTTGATGTCAGAGGTAGAGTTGAGGTGTTGTTAAGGCCGACATCCAGTTTGGATAGTGTCGAAGTCGGTGGTCACTCGTGTACACCATTTCTGACAACGAAAAACATCAGAAATCAATCAAGGCAACTTGGCCGAGTGGTCTAAGGCGATCGACTCAAGTGGATACAGATATCTGTTATCTCTTGGTCCTCCTAGAGGACAGCAATTCGATTCTCGAGAGGGGCGTGAGTTCGAATCTCACAGTTGTCATTATCATTTCCTTTTTTCTTGCATTTTGTCCTTCTTTCTTGCCGTGGTTCCTTTTTATTTCTTGTCTCAATCGCTATCCGGAGTCTGAAGTGGCTGATGATACCTCTCTGCGGCCAGGTCATTATCACCCTTATCACATACTTGTAGACTTCGCACCACACGCATCACGGACAGCTTCAGTCTCTCTGTGTAATTTGTGACCTCAAATGCGGTTTGAGAATATCTGTCTTTATCTCATAGTCGTCATACTTACTTCATTACATGCTATCGTTGCGTCTCATGTCATGTCGTCCCCTCCTCTCCCTCAGCGCCATCGGAGTCTGCTTATACAACCCCAGCCTCGGCAGCACAATATCCAATATCTGCCCCCCTCCAAGCTGGGTAACAAACACTTTTCCAGCTAAATCCTTCTTGTCCTCTCTTTGCCGTAAATCCTGCCGTATCAACGAACACAGCCTTTGTACCGACAACACCTCCTCCCCTTCTGTGCTGCTCTGTAGATCTGAATCCAAAATCTTGCACAACGACCGCGTCATGGCATCATCTGCCTTGAGTCCATCAAACTCCCTTTCTCTTTCAGGGGTAGTTGTCCCCAAGACCTCGATCATATCCGGTCGAACAGGCGGGGCGCAGACGCCTAGGACTTGTTTCGTCCCTCTTTTCTTCTGTTGATTATGGGGCCCGAGACCGGTGCCAGTATGGAGGTTTATGACGGGGTCTTGACCGGGCCCGTAGAAGGAGGTGGAAGCGGTGCAGTCAAATAGCAACAAACAGTCGGCGGGGTGCTGCATTATGGGGTCGCGGACGTCGTCCCAGTAGATGTGGGCATTTCCGTTTCCGTTCGAAAACCTCAACCGCCCATCCCCTTCTACCGTCTCCCCGAAGCCGTGGTAGTAGATGATTAGTAACTCCTTCTCTCGTTCATTATACCCGTGCAGGAATTTGTCGATGACGGTTTCTACTGCTGAGGTGGGGTAGTCGTTGGGGATTAGGCGGCATTGGACTTTCCACCCCCGACGCTTGAAGCATGATCTGACGGATTCAACGTCCGGGCTTAGGGATGGGGAGAATAGTTGCCCATCTGGTCCGGGGCGGGCTGTGGGTGGTGACCATGTTAACAATAGTACGGACACGGATGTTGGTGGTGTGGGCGTCTGGATGAATGGTAGTGGTGAGTGGAGGGTTGTGGCTGGAGTTAGGGAGCCGGGGCAGGTACTGCTTGGTACACTACTTTGGGGAACCGCGGTTCGTGGGTCGGAGAGAGTGGAGGGGGATATGGGGAGGTGGCGAGAAGTGTATTGCGCGTAGAGCAAGTTCTGCTGCTGTTTTTGTTGAAGAATAGGGGTTGGTGGTAATATGGGCAGAGCTTGAAGGGGGTTGATAGCTGCTGGTGGCTTCAACAGTTGTGAGTCTTTTCCTGGCGGATTTGGAAAAGCTTTAATGTACGCAGACTCCGGTGACGAGGTGGCTGTCTCGGTGAACCCCTCTCTGTCCGGTGGGAACCACGGCGTCATGGGGCTTTGGGTGGTGGTGGTCTTGGGGGATTGTCTGTGTCACATGTCAGTGAACCTCACGAGCCCAAGTGAAAGAACAAACGCACAGTGACAACTCATCAAGAGCATCAACTACCGAATTAATCCTTTCGTCCCAGCCATGGCCAAGCTCTCTCCCGTGTCCGTGGTAGGGCTGATCATCATCTGCGCCGTGGAGGCTCTTCGACCCGGACGTCAGCGCCCGCACGCTGTTATCTGCGGAGAAATCGTGTCTGAGATCACTAATGTGCCGCTCCCAGAGCTGGGAAAACTCATCATCATCATTCATGTTTACTTTTGTCCAAATGAGCAGTCATCTGCCCCTGAATTTATCGGCCGGGCGATGTGCGCACGGTGATGGTTGCATGTGTGTCGTTGCGCCCTCGAACCTAAAAAAAGAGATAAGGAAAAATAAAAGGCCAGAGAGAAGAAGACAAAAAAAACTTCCGTCATCATTGATCGCATTCCAGTCCGAACAGCTTGGCAATAAAAAAGCCTCTTCTTGGATGTAACCAAGAAAAATGTCCGGCTAAAAACAGTAAGCTCGTGGGTAACACTGCAGGTGGTTGCAAACGATTTCCGGACGCAGCAGGAATCACTTTGGGGCCCAGCCGAGAAAGTCTGGGACGTCTCGTGAGTGGTTGAGAGACAAGGTAAGAGTGTCATCGTCTCTTGGTTGGGACGGAGGGTAGTACCGGGTGAACGGTGGGCACTAAGGTACTATGAGATAAAAAGCGTTAGCACAAAAGATTGGATCAGGTCCGGTCTGTTGGATGGTTCGGTTCCAGACTTGGGAAAAGTCTGACGGGAGTTTTTGCTGGGAAAGGGATGTTACCCCCTTTCGGTAGATGAAATGCCTCTGGCTGGTGTTGTGTTAATTCGTGGGCCTGATAATCCTACATGGACCTCTTCTGTAACGGTATCGAGCCCAGGGCACTTTGTCTGTTTTTGAATAGGGTGTTCTAGATGCGGTAAGAAGAGGATGGTATGTTTTGTTCGGATTGCCAGCGATGAGATCCGAGTAATAAGGTTGACGATGACTCAAGCCACACCCATTGCGGATGTTGAGAGGGCCTGCATGCTGCCAACTGACACTCAAATTCTCGGACAAATATTTCGACTCTGAAAGAATTCCTTTCGATCCTTTCCTCTCTTCCAACAATCAAAACTTCCACCCCCATCGAGAACAAACCCCAACCCGCCTTGCCTCTTCTCAGGTCAATCGCCCTGTTCATCGCAACCGAAAACGATACACCATCACGATGGCGCTCCTTACACCCATAGAACCCGCATTACTCTCCTTCTTCAACCTCAGCAATCCTTACTTCTTCTGGTACTGCATACTTTTTGCGTGCCATGTCCCTTTCGCTGCTTATCTTTGGATCAGAGCTTTCCTCGATCTCATTAGGTACCAACCTGAGAACGACGAATCCAGTGTTAGGGTATTCGCGGGAGGATTACTATATGACAGATACAAGAACGACGGCTGCTTCTGGATTATCTTTTGGTTGCTCTGTGGGTCTACAATGCTGGTGAATATGCCTATATTCCTGTTTTTTGGCCTTGGGCATGTTATCGTGGGCATCTTCGTCGGTATCCCTTGCTTGCTACTGTATGGAATCTACCGAGTAGTGTCTGGGATCTACCGAGTAGGTTGCACCGAAGGAAAGACGTGCTGCTGCATTCCTTTCCACGCTTGGTTCCATCGTGGGAAGAAAGAGGGGAAGGTGGATGTGGAGAAGGGGATGGAATTGTTGGATGAGAAACGGGAGGTGGTGAGCGAGCAGCCGAAGACTGAACCGGATATTGGGCAGATGCTGCTGGATCTCGAGTCGCCGACAACGGGAGATTCTGTAGGGATATCATTGGGCCCTGTACCCGACATTCTGTGAGCCAGCCCACCTTTCTGAGTTCTGTTCCTTCACTACAATGCATCACACATCCTAGGTATATTGGCCTTCTTCTCCCCAGAGATTCTGAGGGGGGGAAGACAGAAGACAGAGATGGATTTGCGGCAACAGGGTCTACCTAAGGTAGACGAGCTCTGTATCGATTATACGCCAATACGTCTGCTTAGGTTCCGCAGTGAGAACCTATTTGGGGGGGGGGTGGTTAGTCTAGTCCTGCCGGTATTAGACTACCGCCAGAAATTACCCCAGTTAGCTGTGATCGTCTAGGTACCATAGAGGGAAATTCGGATCACCATATTAACGCATCAACATGGTGTTTTGCTAGAAATGCTAAGGGCACCCACTCCCTTCGGCCTAGGGTGATAGGCTAACAACCATCCTCAGATTCCCACCATGGTACTTTACCAATATATGACTGGATGATGTACACGCCCTAGATCTTGTCCCATCCCATCCATCCTCCCTGTTCCTGATAGCTTCATGAATCCCTCCTAAAAACCCCAATCCGCCAAAACCCCCCGCAACTCTCCGACTTGCTGTTCATCCTCCCGGCGCAAAACATGCGGCACTCGTTCTCTGGCGCTTTTCGTTGCGCAGCTGCTTCTGCCGGTAGTGTATCGCTGCAGAAACACTCGTTTCCGTTTTCTGTGCCAAAGTAGGCGTATCCGTCGCAGATACCCTCGCACATCTCGTTTGTCATGGCCGGGTTGGCGAGGTTTCTGCTGTTCTCTCCGGACAGAAGACGGTGGGGGCTTTCACGGTCGATAAAGCACCCTAGGTAGGTCGCGTTTGGTAGGGTGACTTGTTGGATGTTAGTAGGTATGGGGGTGCTGCTTGTGGAGATGTAGGTGGTGCTGGCGGTTGTGAGGGGGTTTGAGGGTGGTGTTGAAGATCCTGCGGTTGAGGATTCCGCGGTTGCTGATCCTTCGGTTGATGATATCGTGGTTGTAATCACAAAACTTGTTGCATTGTCGCTGATACCAGTCTCAGCCGAAGGGATCACCGGGGTGTTGCTGCCTCGGGAGGAATAGAATCTGATCAGGAAACCTGCTCCCAGTCCGATAGAGAAGACTACAATAAGGAAGACCACGAGCAGGATTAGGTTAAGAGTGATTCTCGTTCTCCAAAAAGTTCTTGGGCGTTTCTCCAGCTCGTGGTTTGTCGAGATGGACCCAGTCTCTTGCCTGTCATCGGTCTCTTTTGATGCTTGGCTTTGTAGTCGTCTGCGAGAATCGGCGTCTACTTCGGGCAGGGACAGTGATGGATCCCATACTTGCGGGAGGGTTGAGTCGCGAACTGGAGATGTTGAGGCCTCGATTTTCATCTGTATAGGAGAAGAGTCAAGTTCTGGGATGTCGACGTTCGCTACAGATGGATATGACTCGGGCTGAGGTTTGGGATTAGAGTTTCGGTTGATGAACTCGAGTTCTGGGTCGGGATGATGTTGCATTGCTTGCTGAGAGTCGCCCTTTGCTACGAAGGTGGCAGTAGACGAGGAAATCGTTTCCGCTGGGCTGGAACGGGGCTTCATCGAGTCTTCCAAGACATTGACCATTGT